AGTCTTTTTATAATGTGGCTAGTCCGTGAATACAACATTGCCAAGGTGCAAATGAAACTTAAATTTTTCCTGGCCAATGAACTCACAAATGTTAGACACTAATTCATACTTTCACAGACTGTATTTGTAGAATTATAATATACAGAAAAATTGTTCTTTAAAATAAACAGATTTAGCAAAACTCTCGACGAGCAAGTCAGCAGCAGCAGGTTGAACAGCAGCTGAATCGGTTGTGTGCAGACAGCTGTAAGCTGCATCCTCTGCTACACTCAGCAACATGAATGAAGCTGCATGATCATTTTTTAATAAATTGTTCCCTAATTATAACACATTGAAACACATTAGCTGTAGTGCTCTCAGCACAGCAAATAATGTAGTAACGAGGTGTAAACACACGTAGAAATCCTCTATTTTTTCTGAGATTTATTCACTCATCAGTTTTTCTCTTGTTCCTTATTTCCTCTCAGAGCAAAGATCCAACTGCTCCATTAAAGGTTGTCAGGAGAACTGTACCGCTACTCCAGCAGGACCCCTGTGTTACTGCAAGAATGGATATGAGATCAGCTCTGATGGAAAGACATGCAGAGGTGAGTGAGTTACACCTGTAGTTGGGCATACCTGCCATTCATGCATGCAGCAAACATATACAGAGTATAATAATGAAATAATTCAGAATATTTACCTTTTTTGCCTTATATTAACCTCTATGGTCTTGTTTTATTTGAGCATTAAGTGAGAAATAATTTTTTTTGAATATTTTTGTACTATTGCTTGTTTTTTTAAACAACACTTTGAATGTAGAAATTGGTAAAAAAAATTAAATGAAAAAAAAACAATATTTCAGTATTTCCTTCAGAGGCTTGTTTTAAAATGAACAACTAGAATAAAACGCAGAAATGTTGCTATATTGATAGAATTGTTCTTCTCAAAATCCCTAAATTCATTTATAATATAGCTTTAACGACTGTTGCATTACTGTAGAGTGGTGATATCTCAGATATAAAAGCATTTTTGTCTTCTTATTTATTTTTTTGGATTGAGGTTTAATTTCTGTGTGATTTCTGTGCTCCAGACTTTGATGAGTGCAGCGTTTACGGGACCTGCAGTCAGACCTGCACGAACACCGAGGGCTCTTACTTCTGCTCCTGTGTGGAGGGTTATCTGTCCCAGCCAGACAACCGCTCCTGCAAAGCTAAAAATGGTAAGCACCCACTGACAGCAGCAGGGTTCAATGCCCACCTGGTTGTCAGCAAATTTCCACAGGTCCTTCATTTTTCTCCTGTTTACTCACATTTATGTTCATGTTGTGATTCCAGTGCCAGTGGACCGCCTGCCGGTCCTGCTGATTGCCAATTCCCAGAACATCCAGGCTACCTCCCTGAGTGGCACCACTGTCCACAGCCTGCTGTCTACCAGCACCAAACAAACCACGGCCATGGACTTCGTTTACGCCAAGGAAACGGTCTGTTGGATTAATGTGGGAGACTCCCCCTCATCCACACACCTCAAATGTGCCTCGATCCCCAATCTGAAGAGCTTCACAGAGGAAAGAATCATCAACATCACCTTCAGTTTGCACCGTAAGCTTATCAGAGTTTGCCGTCATTAAGTTAACCACACAGCACAGCAACAGCTGCACAGATGAAGAGTAAATACACAATGGTCACTTTTAGGGCTGCATGGTGACATTTTACAACAACCATCACAAAGTTCAGATCTTGTGTTTTATCACTGCTTTGCTTTGCAACTGATTTGAGTTGCTTTAAGACAACTGAAAGCCACTTTGGTCTTGACCCTAGCTAGCTGCTAACTCTGTGCCCCCAAACCGAGGTAAAACAGGTAAGGTCCAGTTCACACGGATGGATTTAAAAACGGTTGGATGATTTTCAGAACATGAGAGATCGCACACACGGCAAATGAAATCATGGACATAACAGATTCAGTCCTACACAGTGGTTTGCAGAAACACGGCAAAAACTACACACTACACTCAAACTGATGCCACACTCAAACATTCTCAGGTTTGATGGGAAATCTTGTAAAATATCTTGAGATCAAACTAGGCTTTGGAGTAACTAAACATGGCGGACGGGGAAGATGTTTTAGATTACCCTCGTTCCGTGCTTTGTGCTTTTGTCCTCTGCAGTTGCATTTATCACATTTAACAAGCTGCATATTACAGCTCGGTTACTGCAGGGGTCAGGACGGGGCGGGGCGGGTTATCGGGGGCTGGCGTGGACCGTTAAAGAGCTCCGGACGTCACGTGACTCTCAGAGAGTAGACGCCATGTTGGCAGGCAACAAAGGTAAACAAAATGAACGGTATCGGCTTGAATTTTACTCCGTCGGAGTTTACTTCACACTTGAAAACCGAAGAAATCGTTTTACATAGTCAGAAATTAAATAGACTAGACATCTCCGACTCTTACCGTGCCCCTGGGATACTTTTTAAAACGCGAGACGCTGTCGGCACGGACCTCTTGCGGGATTTGAGATGCCCTGACATAATGTCCTTCAAATTTTCCTACATTGCAGCACACATCCATAAAACTTATGAAACAAAAACACAAATAATGTAGATTTACATGTAGTTTAAATAGAGTGCTGCTGTTTGAATGTATAAACTGAACGCCAAGAGAAATCACTAGTCTGATTTTTTTTCCATGAATAAAATAAATATGTCAGGCAGGAGCGTCTCAGGATCTGTCTGAGATCTGTCTCGGTGAGACAGAAAATAGCAATCCAAACTGTTTTTAATGTGTGATCTGACAATTGATCAACCATTGCTTAAAAATTAAATACAGCTTAGCCGGTTAAAACACGTAAACGGCAGCACGCAGAAATCACGAGGCAACGTTTTACGTGACGTTTACTTGTTGCTATGAGTAATAAGACAGAAAAAGCCACTCCAAAATAAGTTTAGGAAGCCCACTAAGAATTGTAATAAAAGCATTTAAAATAAACGCCATACACAGTTGAGGAAACGTTGGTTTAAGTACCTGATATGAAGTGGTCGCTGCATAAGCGAAAACCTTTACTCTCGGATCCCACTGCTTCATTTTAGCCTGGAGGCTAGTGCATTTCATTGCGATGATCCAACGTTTGCGGCGTTCCGGATCTTGGAGAATCCTGTAGAAGGCTCTTCCCTTATGTCGTCCGCGTCTGTTCTGCATCCTGGGGCACAACAGGAATCTACCATATTTCCCGTTTGATTGAGTTTTCTGACAATAACAAATAGTCCAGCTGCCGGCTTCTGCCTGCCAAGATGGCGCCGTTCGATTTGAACTGTTGCATGCCGGGAGAAGTGACGTCAACTCCCGGAGCTCTATGGGTCTGCATTTTCAGGAGAGCATTTCAATCGCAGTTCCCCTTTTTACTTGGCAGGCAGGGTTAAACGAATCATGCGGGATTTCACAAAAAGTAGTGCAACGCCCTGAACCGAACTATTGATTTCTCCTCGGGGCATATGTAAGATCCAACACTGGAGTGATCCTGACGTGCTTTCAAGAGGACAAAAGCACTCTTACCACACCACAGACAGCAGGAACATCTGATAAGATTATCTTTGTGCAATCAGATGTGTCATTCAGATGGTTGGAAGGGGGTCATAAATTGACATAATTCACTTGCTGTGTGCGCCATGCCAAAAAACTGCTTCAAAATATCTGACTAGCTTATGTAACATATCAAAATTCTTTAAAAAGGATGTTATTTTTGTTCTTTGTTGATAATTTGGAGACTTTCACATTCACTGTTCTGAACCCAAAGGCTAATGAGACTTCCTGTGTTAGTTTACACTCAGAAATGTGTCTCCAGGGAACACTCAGGCTCAGATCTGCGCACCAGACGCGTGTAAAGCAGCAGAAGATGTTTAAATCTCTTAAGATGGACGTGAAAGCAAAGAAAGATAAGTTAGACTTTTAAATTCTAATTCGCAAAAGGGCAGCTAACATTTGAGCGTCACCTCCTGTTTAATAGACACGCGGAACTTCTCTGAGCTTCGTGACCCTGAATCATAAATAGAGTCACGGCACATTAAAAGCAGCTGCGTTCTTCCACAGGCTTCTTGTCGGAAAACACTGAAAAGGGGACTTCTGTTGTCAAAATGAAACTAAAAGAGAAAATCTGCACACGTTTAAACATCCACCACCCTCCGCCCCCTCTACTCTTCATCGTTTTCTTTTTCCAGCCGTCTCCATTATTGTCTTCTAAGAGTTTATGAGGATGTAGAACAAGAGTAAACAGGTTTAGCTCAAAATCCTGGATCAACTGTTGGGATGCACACTGATGAGGAATCTAAATGAGTCACGGTGACAGTTAGACATTATTTTAAACACTGCAGCAGCGATCAGACAGCGAGGTTAATGGCTGACAGCAGCAGAGAAAGTAACCAAGAAAAATCTGATGGAAGCAAAATGACTTGCAGACAGGAGCTGTGGAAGCTTTGGTTGGGTTTGTCAGGAGACGAGATAACCCTTCAGCTGATGGGGGTGAAGAGGAAAATGAGAACAAGAGGGTTCTTCTGGCTGAACTCATCATTTACGAAGTCCATGCCGTGGTGGATTATAGATTCATCATTTATACTGAAGGACTAATATTGTTTCATGCAAACTGTTATAAATACACCATCCTTCTAATTTTGCACGCTGCTGCAAACCTTTTCTTTTACGTTTTGAACTATTATTTCCTCACGGTTACTTTTCTTCTCTCCGATGACAAATCCAAGCGTAAAGCACGAAGAAAAACCCATCTTTATGATAAATTACAGTCCTAATTTCACTTGGCCAGTGAGCGCCAACGCTGAGGTTTGGAGGATATTAACTAAATGTTTTCCATTGCTGTTGTGTCGTTACGAATAAAATAAAATGAATCTGCTCAGGCAGTGGTTGCTGATCAGTTATTGTAGCATTAGCAGCTGTGTCAGGGTCAGGACGCCATGAACACAGTAGAGAAGGTAAGTAAGAGAGACAAGTGACGTCTTTGTTTAAGCAACATGAAAGC